GGAGGGGGGGGCAAAGCAGAGCCAAGCCGCGGAGCGCGTGGGCAGCGGACAGCCCTGTCCGCTGCCCGCGTGTTCCGCCGCTTTGCTTCCTCTCCCTGGTCTGCTGGAGACCAGGGAGAGGAAGGGCCCCGTTCGTAACTGCGGATCCGACATAAGTCGGATCCGCGTAACTCGGGGACTGCCTGTAATCCAAATATCTCAATGAGGTATAAACAAGACCCACTGTACTGGAGGACCTCGCTAACATGACAACTGTGATCTCTGAGTGGAAGATGTGCAGTGAGTGGTCCTGGTCTGTCCATCCAAACAGATATAGCTCAGCTGCTGAGGTAAAGGGATGGTCTACTGATTTCTGCTGTTGCTTCTCCCAGGATGGGGGTGGAAACAAAGCCCCCTGAGTCTTCTGGGGTGTGTGGAGAGCAATTACTCCATGCCACTCCCTGCATGGGAGCCTGCTCCCTTAAACCACACTCCCAAACAAGTCAGGGCAGATCTGTAGGAAGGCCCTTGTGTCCAGAGCTCGGGATTACCTTAATGTGGCCCTACTTTCTCCTAGCAGTGGGGATAGGGTCAGGAAGCCAGCTCCCATTCACCTGGGGCTAGGTCAGAGTGCAGCTGTATGAAACACTTGTAAGATATCCATCACCACGGTCTCGGACCCCTCACTAGGTTAAGACTTGGTGGTAGCCCCAATCTCACACGTGGCTCCAGGGCTGGGTAACAACCCCACGCGACCCAGCCCCCCACAGTGGAGGGGAGAAGGACTGAGCTAGGGACTGCCGCTCCGACAGGCAATTCGTCTGGCTCCCTGCGTTGGCCTTGGTCAAGTGGCATCGTGCCTTTGGGGATTCGTAGTCCACGGGCTGCCACGGACCCATTTTACCGCCAGTTGCCAAAGCAGCCCAATAATTTGGAGGAACTTTGGACCCCACTGGTCCTCCAGTCGCTCCTTCATCTCCGACCTGTGCGGGAGGAGCCGTGGCTGCTAGCTGGTATGACGAGACTGCGACTTGCCTCGTCTGGACAGAGGAGGGGACACGTGTCCATCACCCTCCCAAACCCGGCAGGCGATTCGCGCTCCCCCTCCCGGAGGCCGCTGAGGGGGAGGCGCGGGCACGCGCTCCTCTGGTGGCGCGCGCGCTCGTATGTAAATGAGCAGGCGTGAGGTCAGAGGCAGATGGAAAAGGAAACAGACCTGCCGCCGCTGCCTCCTCCTCCTCCCCTCAGTGCTGGAGCCCCCGCTGCACGGCGGAGCGCAGGGGAGTCCGCCGAGAACTCGACTCCTGGCGGCACCGCCTCATGCACTGTGTGGGTAAGAGAGGGGAGGCTCCCCTGCCGCGGGAGAGCGGGGTCGGGGGGAGGCGGGGACCGGAGTCCGGGTCGCTGCCAGGGGAGGGAGGGTAGCGCCGGCTGAGGAGTCTTTCCCGGCGGGAGGAAGCGGCGCTCCCGAGTCTCGGTCCGGAGCGGAGGAAGGTTTGGAGCCCCGGGTTTTCTCCGCGGGGGGAGGAGGGGGAGCAGTCGCGAGCCCCTTGGGGCTGAACTCGGCGGGATGGGAAAGACAGGTTGGCTCTTCCTAGTTCCGGGTCCTTTTGTCTAGGCGCCTTCTCGAGCGGCTGCCCCCTCCTTCCAACCCTGAGTGTCGGGGGGAGAGAATGGGATCTGGGTGTGTTTGCGCCTTTAAGGAGCAGCTCCTGCACTGACGGTTGGGATTTGAAGTTTTCCCTCCCCCCCCCCCTTTGGAAGTTGTCATGGCGACGGCAGTTCTCCCCTCACTCCTGCCCCCCCCTCCCTCCGCGAGGCTGTCCAGAGGCTCTCGTGCTGTTCCCCTGTGTCACGTGACCTCCCCGGGGGATGGCAGGTCTGGGTGCCTTTCAAACTTCTCTGCGCTGACATCCCCACGCTGGGAGAGGACACTAGAGAGCCGACCCCGCTTTAGCACTCTGTTTCGGCCTGCGGGGGGAGTCCGTTGATGCCCAGCCGCGCTGTGCTGCTGCTGGATGGATACCTGCGACTGGAGACAGCTCCTAGGTCCAAAAAGATTTGTTCTGCCTCTTGGTGAATATATGAAGGAATAGAGAATAACTGCTAGATCCCCTTTCTTATTTATGATGTGCTCTATCATATTGATCTCTGAAAAGTTTTTTTTTTCTGGTTGCTTTGCTTGTTGGTGAATATTTGGGGTGGGAAGGATGGGGAGAGGAAAGTGTTCATTTGTAATGACCACAGTGAGATCTTGCTTATCCGGGAGGCAGGTAAAACATTATTTAAATGGCATAAATAAACAACAAATGGTCTGGTAGCACTCTGCATTGATCTCCCCAATGGCTGAACCATGAAAACACATCTAGATAGCTGAGTGAATTGAATTCTCTGAGCATTTTTGTGTGTCCGATCAAGATTGAAGTATGAATTAAATATCTGATATGTACTTTACATGAATACTGTCTTCTGCATTGCAAATTAATTGTCTGAATAAACCTGTAGCCCTCTAACTTATGTTACTTTAAAAGGAAACAGCAAGTCATCCCGTTCTCTTGATGTTAGCAGGTGAAAAATGTTCTTTCAAGTAAATGAGATTTTTCTTGCAGTGTGTGTGTGTGGCTTTTGTTTTTCCATGTAGCTATAGTATTTTAGGGGGAGGAGGTGAGTAGTTCAGTGAGCTGCTCAAATAGTACTGGTGGGGAAAACTTTGTGTTTCTGCATAGAATTAATGCTTAGATATCATTTTAAAAAATAAGACAAATAGCCTTTTTTCCACTCTGACTTGTATTCCATGGAATAAAAAACAAGACCTAAATACAAAAATATATCTTCATGACTGGGTCCAATTGAAGGTGCAAGTTGTTGATAAATAGGAAAAGCCCAGATGACATCACTCTCCAGTTCTACTAGCCAAATGAATATAGAAACTTGTCAAATCAAACAGATATTTTGAAAAATCTTTGTTTTAAAATTTTGTCAAGTTATTGAAATGTTCACTCAACTTAATGTGAAGTTGTCTGTGACTTTTAAAGTTTGATGGTTCATTTAAAAATGTTGCTAGAAATAATTCAGTTCAGTTAAACAGATACAGAATAACCAAAACTCCTTTACTTTGCCCACATCTTACTTTTTCACTCTCCTCTTGTAATTTTTCCTTCTCTGTGTAACTTTTTTCCCCTCACTGCCTTGGGGATGTAAACTGTTAATTGCTTATCTAATAAGTATTAATCTTACTGTTGTTTTGAATGTTAACTTCAGTATATATTGGTTTAAATCTGTGGGATTTTCATATTTTTGGTATTGCATTTAAAAAAGGCTACAGTGGTGGATACACTGGAACACCTGGATCGATCCTGGTACTGCAGCGTGGCAAAGATCCACCAAACTAGCTGCATGAGTTAGCACCTAATAACTGGGAGAGTGAGCGATAGGCATTCTGTGCCTTGCTCTGAGCCTAGCTATGCACACACAAACAATCGCCTAGCCCACTGTATTCCACCTCTGAGGACAGCATCCTCCACACTTGACAGAGGTAAATTGTGAGCTTGGTAAGGTTTAAACAATACAATTTTAAATTTAAATGGTTACTTAAATTAAATTTATATTCCTAGATTGCCTTCATGCCTGGTTTAGCCTCCTTATGCTGCTGCAGCAAATTCCAGTCCTATTGTATTTAACAAGCACTTTGTGCAAGCCCTTTTGTTTTAATGGTGCGAATGTGCTATGGTTCTCTAAATGCAAAACTAAAACCTACTGAACTCCTAGTAGTTGCCACCATATTGTCATATAGTGCTCTGTTTGTTGCTAGCTTTGTCTCTTGGAGATTCTTTAGGGTAGAGGTTGACTTTGTTCTCCTACAGTACAGAACACATTGTTGATACTAAACTAATAGTAATTGTAACTGTTAAGGAGGAAGTACATTGCTATAGGTTAATGTTTAGTCATGATCCCTGTCTCAGTTAAGTACTAGCTCTAAGCTAAGAGACAGTGTAGACAATGTCAAAGTGTTTGGGCAGGAGAATTGAAATAATTCACTCTTAGGATTTTGCTATTTTTCGAACTTGATGGAGTTCAGTTAGGGAGAAGAGCAATTGAAGGAAAGGGTAACAAACTAAGAGGCAGAACAAAACAGATTATGTAGAGGAGGGAAATCTGGGTTTTTAAACAAGCCTTATCAGTTCGTTTCTGATGTCCCATAATCTATTGATGACAGACTAACCCAGCTACCCCTCTGTAGGTAAAGACTAAGTCTGTAACAGGAAAAACTTAAAAAAACAACTAAGTCTTGCAGCATCTTAAAGACTAACAAAACATGTAGATGGTATCATGACCTTTCATGGGCACAACCCACTTATTCAGATGACACAGCTCATGACACCATCTATATGTTTTGTTAGTCTTTAAGGTGCTACTAGACTTTTTTTTAAGTTTTTCCTGTTAAAAAAATAGTCTAAGTTTACCGTCTGTGTGTAGAGTTGTTTTGTTTTTTGAGGATCTCAAAATGATTTGCGTGAGTTATTTCAGTGTTGCATTATCTTTGTAAGATGGATAATCCTATACTAATTTTATAGGAAGGGTAAACCGTACCACAGAATAAGGGACTCAGTTCTGCCATCTTAGGTTTTATTGAGTACTAGTGTTAATTTAATCAAATGACTCCATGAAGAATAAGGTGCTAGTTAGTGTGAGATTAGGGAATAAAATCAAACCCTTTCTTTCATTAGTGAACAGTTGGACACTTTTATACATTTGAAGTTTTTGGTTCAAATTTGGGAAACTGAAGAAATTAAGCAATTCTAAATGAAAATACAAGAACATTTAAGATCTTGAACAAAATTCTTCACCTTAAAAAATGGAGTTTAGATTTTCAATAAACTTGTCTGGTAATAGCTCTTGAAGGATGTGGATTCGGGAAAAAGTCTCTGTTAAACTGAAAGTGATCCCATATAAGCAATTATCAGGATACTTGCAGGAATGGTCTGTTATTTCTTTGAATAAAAACTTATAACATTCATTCATTTCCTAATTGCGTTCCATTGAGTTGAGAGGGCTTGATAATCTTATATCTTTATGAGCATGGAACTATGAAACGGACGTTTCATGCATTCTTCTTCAGAATAGGTTTAATGATAGCAATACAGAAGTGTGGCTCCTTTTTAAACTGTGTGTGTGTGGGTGTGTGTGTGTGTGTGTGGGTGTGGTAATTGTCATGTATCATTTTAACTCCAACTGTATAAAATTTATTAGGGGCATAGTTCTGATGGGGTGGGAGAATAAGCACCCACAGTTGTCAAACATTTTGCTTGGAATTGCGAGTGTTTGTTACCTTTTGGGATTACTTACCAGTATGAATTTTTAAGGGTTGATGTAGAAATGCAGTTCTTAAAATTAACATTATGAATTACTTTAGAATCATAATTTAGGGTTTATTGAAGTTAAGGTTGACACATTCCATTTATAAGTCTTTGCTCTTAGTTTCTTATGACTTTGCAAAATAGCCATTGAGTTTGAAATTTTCATACTGGGTGTCTCTTGAGCTCAGTTCTTTGGAAGCTTCAGCTAAAATGAGAGAATTAACTGGAGTGAAACTTAAAAAGCCCCAAGTTCTAGTGCCTCTGTTTCAGAGCAGGGACTTAACATTTTCCCGCTCCCATTCCCTCATTTTCAGGTGAGTTGCCCTGGTTCCATTCTCATGAACATTTACCTGAATCTGGTCACGTTGTCCGCCTCTGAAATTGCAGTTCACAGAAGTTCAGTAGGGCTATGTCTACACTGGCCACAATTTCCGGAAAAGGGATGCAAATCAGGTAAGTCAGGATAGGGAAATCCGCGGGGGATTTAAATATCCCCCGCGGATTTAAATAAACATGTCCGCCGCTTTTTTTCCGGCTTGGGGAAAAGCCGGAAAAAAAGCATCTAGACTGGCGCGATCCTCCGGAATAAAACCCTTTTCCGGAGGATCTCTTATTCCTACTTATTCCGGAGGATCGTGCCAGTCTAGACGCTTTTTTCCGTCTTTTCCCCAAGCCGGGAAAAAAGCGGCGGACATGTTTATTTAAATCCGCGGGGGATATTTAAATCCCCCGCGGATTTCCCTATCCTGACTTACCTGATTTGCATCCCTTTTCCGGAAATTGTGGCCAGTGAAGACGTAGCCTAGAAGTTTTATATCTAAACTCTCTAACTCTGTGTTCACCAAGCATTCTCTGTCCCCACAGATCTTCTGCATGACATCGTGAGTTGTGCATGCACTAGGGATGTAAGGAACTAATATTTAAATCCCCCGCGGATTTCCCTATCCTGACTTACCTGATTTGCATCCCTTTTCCGGAAATTGTGGCCAGTGAAGACGTAGCCTAGAAGTTTTATATCTAAACTCTCTAACTCTGTGTTCACCAAGCATTCTCTGTCCCCACAGATCTTCTGCATGACATCGTGAGTTGTGCATGCACTAGGGATGTAAGGAACTAGTTCTCCCCCCTGACTGCCTTTATCAGAGAAATGTAAGAAAAAAGGGGGGGGGGGGGAGGCTGGCTGGCTTAAAAGCTTGTTCTCTTCTCCCTCCCCCCCCCACCTCAAACACCCTCTCAGAGGGAGGGAGGTTGCAGAGGTGCCACAGGGCAAATGGCACACAGTCCCCCCTCGGGCCAGCTCCTGAATGCTGTGCCCCTTCCTTTTAAATTTTTTACATCATTTAAAAGGCAGAGGCACAGTGGGCATAGGGAATGCCCCACTACCCCTTATCAACTAATTGAGTAGTTAATGGAAACTCCGTAGACTACTGCGGAGATCAGCAAACTTTCTGAAGTGCCATGCCAAGATTTAACCCTCCTGCCCTGGGCTGAGCCGCTTTCCCGGGAGGAGCTCTCTCTACTGCCCGCCCTGTGGACCACATGGTTCAATGTGAATCTTGCTGCAGATTACCAGATGCTAATGGAAACTCACCATTAAATACAGAATTATGCCACAGCCATTTTGCTAGTGCTGCAGCTGGGGAGAATTGGCTAATTTAAATTATTAAACAGATTAAGCATTTTAACTCTCCCATTAGTTTATCAAACTTCTTTTTAAAT